GGTTATTATACGGTCCTACTGTAAGTATTACGGCCCCTATCTAGCTATATACTAATTTACTATCAGCCTGAACTACGACGGTATATCGAATCACGACATGAGCCCGATCCCGATGTTGTCCAGCCTCGCCGGCGTGCGAACAACGGGCCCGAGGCAACCCCTCCACTGGAGGCATCCACGGGCCGGATCCTTAGTGCTTGGGAGCAAGAGGAGCAGAGAGCTAAATCCGATCTCGAGTCACGGCCACCAGGGACACAAAGGAAGAGGAAGGGCACGGGCGCTACTGTCGTAAACAAGAGGTCGAATACGCTTGCTTCCGTGAGCAGCCGGGTTGACGATCTTGCTCAGCAGATCGGTGATTTCATCAAGTCGCAAGCAGCAGCAACGCCAGTACCGTTATCACAGGTACCTCACTTCCACAGGCGCCGCCGGCATCACGGGATACTCTGTGATGCCACCGCCTACATCACTTGTGCCTGTATACGTACAGGCACCGGCGCCGTCACGGTGGCAAGAACCGCCTCCTCGACACAGGCACATCACGACGGCTTCATGTGGGCACAGCCGCCGGCACAGTCTCACGGGACGGTAAGGGCATTTCCAGCAGCCAGGGGATCAGACGGACACGGCACCATGCAATTCCAGCGAGCGGGCCGTCCCCAAATTCGTTCCCTATGTGCCTCGCCCTCCGCCGCGTCGGACGGATCCTTCCTCACAGTCACAGTCACAGTCACAGAGGTAGGCAAGGCGGCCAAAAATGCACCTTCCACTGCTGTGTGCATATTGCATACACATCGGAATCGGTCGGGCCGGGCTTAGTGATAGCTTCAATTGAACGACTCCAAGGGACGCATCTTCTGGCGTTGGTGATCTTTGCAATATTGAATGCATCCTCCGTACATACCGGTAGTCGAGTAATAGGGCGGGCGCGACGAGGCGGCCACGGCGTTGGGAACGCGCGCGCCAAATTGTGGTGCGCGCCTACTCTTCCAAATGGGGTTTAAGTCTCCGTGCATGTTTCGAAATCGTCCGTGCATGTTTCGTTACTCCCCTAATCATCGAACGAGTCGAGATTACCTACGGAGTACAGTGGGTCCCTTTTCGCGTGAATCACTAAACGGGCTGTCCTACGATGCTGGTCCATATGCCTCCATTCCGGGGTTCGCCTGATGCGACCCGCGCATGATAAAGTTCGGACCGATTTTCGCGGCAGGCGCCCGTGCCAGGGTCCGGAGGTGACGGTCAGGCTGGCAAGGACCGCAGGGTTCAAGGTCTAGCTAGAGCTGCTAGTTGGGCAAGATAGCGATGCGGTGGGGAGGGCCCTAACCTCCATGTCGCATAACATGAGGTGCTAATATACTTCGAACACCCGTTAAATTGCCAAGGCAAGGGGCTTAACGGCTGAATATCCAGCCAGGAAGGCGAACATCGTATACCTGCCATTCAACTTTCCTAGGGGAGACCCCCTAGAACCCCCCTTTCGCCTGCAGCGGGCAACCAGTTGTTAAACCGCTTCAAACCTGCACTTGTCACGAATAATCCCACGCTGCCATTCTAGCGAAAGTGGGAGCCACCTGTTGATTGCAGGTGATCTCGCGAAGAAAGAATGGCAAGGGGCATAATGTTTTTAGGGTGCATCTTTTTTTTCGTTCTGTTCCTTCTCCTGTCTGCTGTACCGTTCTCCCATTTATGCCCTTTTGCCCTCTCTTCTTCAGTCTTCCATCTCCTTCCTTGCTGACCCACTAATGCATAGGCACCCTCTCTCCGCGTCAGCTTGCCACGTCATTCCAGTTTCAATCAAGCGGAATAAAAATTTGTTTTTGCTTTTTACTTGGTTGATGAACACACTGAATCAACCTCGATAAATCCGTCGGCGGATTTATCGAGGTTAATTTCAATGTACCAACCGAGTTAGCCAAATTGCAAAGGTCTAAATTCTTCCAATTCTTTAGGAGAGCCACGAGGAAGACAAGGGCCGCCCAATCCAGGCAAAGGAGGAAGAAGGCCGCCCATGCTCGGCACCAAAAAGCCTTTTTTTTTACAATTTTGACCAGGTAGTTTCTCTTGCTTCTCTTTACCAGGTCGACCATTGGGTTTTGTAGTTTTATCATTAGCAGGATCAGCTCCAGATTCAGCTTGTTCTTTGAAAAGTTGTTCCATTTCACGTTGATTCGCATCGGAAAGTTGTTCGTCATTGGAAAGAGCAGCAAGACGTTTCTTTTCAGCTTCTCGTCCAGCGGCGGTTTCATCATTTAAAGGATCAGCTCCAGGTTGAGCTTGTTGTTCATTGAAAAGTTTTTCCATTTGACTTCCAGGTCCGGTACCAGCATCGTGTTTTCCAGTAACAGGGTTTTGATCGGCGGCACCAGTAACACCAAGTTCAGATTCCGCATCTTGTCTTGGTGCTATATTTCGTTCCGGCATTGGGGACGCCAGTCCTAGCCCGCTGAGGAGCATGAGAAGGGCAATTGAAACCTTCATGTTGGCGAAAGGTACTCAAAAGGAGGACACCAAAACGAGCGAGGTAGAATCGATGATGGCGAGGTAGAAATCGATGGAGAGGTATGGCGCAAGTATGTGGCGCAAGTATAAGTAAGAAGCAAGATCCCAAAATGTTGTAGTTTCCAGGTGAAATGCCCGCACTTTATAAGTTCGAACCACACAGTAGGTTTTGGCAATTGCTAGACCGGCATGAAGGATTGCTGCACAGCAATGACTCTTACACACACAGGTCAGGCTAGTATGTACAAACGAATAGTGTACGCCTCAGTTTGCACTTAGAAGCAATGATCCACAAGCCTGGGCTGCCTGGCCAGACTGGGTTCACCTGGTCTGACTCGCGCATGATAAACGTTTAGTACAGAAGCGGCTACAACTACGGACTTCCCATTGGGGTCCAACGGCTCCACCAGCTAGTCATTAAAATTCTCACGACTCGTGTCTCCACACGTTGAAGTTACCAGATCGATAGCTGTAACTATGAGAAACTGCAATCCACGAATCAGCTCCAACGGGAGGCAAAGGCTTCTCTTGCTCTACACTGCAGCGCTCTTAATAGTCCAGACTGTTTAGATTATTTAGACTAAAATACTGCGCCACACCTTGCACTTTAGTCTTTAGGGCTGTGGTGCAAGGCGTACAATCAGCCGAAGGCTGCGAGTCTGGCTACCAGTCAAGCAGTCACCGAACAATCAGTTCAATCCGGTCTGAAAGTCACGGCAGGACAGATCCGTCACTATCATGTCTTCGGTGATGCTCTGCGACTTGTGAACTGTAATGGCGTAGCATACGATCAGGGGAAACTGCGTACGAGGGCAGAGCGTGGGCCCGACGAGGAAGTCCCTGTCTACCGGCCGAATCGGGACAATCTTCCTGCCATTTGCGGTGGTCAGGAATACCGGCCCCGGGTACCGGTACTTGTCAAACTCCATCATGATCACGCAGGGAGGGTCTTGAATGGGGTCAGCTCCAGGCGCCCAGGCGATATCGTATACTGTAACTGTCGCATCGAGCGGACCCTGTTTGGAAGGATACTTGGTTCCCGTGTATGCAGATATCGGGGTCCCTCCTGACAGCTATTTCAGCTGGGTCAGTGGACACCCAACGCTCTTGACTCTCTCTTTTGTAACAGTAACAGAGACCTCTTTTACCCCACTAGCTTTCACATCCGACTTGTCCCTCGTGCGTGCCTCGCAGTGAGATCCGACAGTTATGAGCCCGGTATGCGGCCAAGCGCAAATTGCTACAACAGCTACGGCTACCGCTCGTTCAACAGATAACTAATCTCGCTGCGAGGCCGATGCGTTCCAAGGCAAAACGACACCCAAGAAGACACATCTTTGCATATGACCAGTTTTCCTGCCTGCAAGTTTCGCATCTGAGGCAAGCCCTTCTTCCTAGCGGGGATGTCCACCCGGCTTACACCACCTGTTTGGGTACCCCTCTATCCCCCCTCACATTTTCCTCCAAGAGTTCCTGTTCTTCATCATTTCCTATCAACTCTATTTATCAGTCATTCATCATGTCTGTTACTGCCAACCCAAAGCTCCTCCTTTCCAAGACCGAGGAATGGGCCAGCTGGTTCAGCACATTCAAACGCAATGCCGAGACCACTGACGTTTGGAAATTCGTCAATCCCGGTCCCTTTGCAGAAGATCAGATGGTTCCAACGCTTGAAAGCCATCTGAGGTGACGTACGATGGAGAAGTTGCCCGATTGGCAGCTAGAGGTGATGGTCAGGAAACCATCAAGGATCTCAACGAGGCCCAGCTCAAGGTCTTCGTCATTCGACAGGGAGAGTATAAAACGAAAATGACTCAATACCTCTCCGACCGCAAGTCATATAGTGACCTCATGACTTGGGCATCATCAAACTCAAGGAGCTCGTAGGCGTTACCGAAGCCTACAAGATCGAGCTAGCTAGACTAGCATATCGCAAGGCCCTTCACACCAACCGACGCACGAGCCCGGTCGATTGGTACAATCAGTGGGAACTGGCTTATAGGGAAGGAGAGAAGCTGGAGATCTTCGAAGTTGAGGGGGATATCGCCATAGGGGATTTCTTGGAAGCAGTCAAGACTTTCGACCTGGAATGGGCGAAGAGGTATAAGGACGACCTACGCAAGGATCAACGCGCCACTGGCAAATCGTCAATGACTCTATTGGAAGTGGGCAGGCAGTTCCTTGATGCTGCCCGCGACAACGTCAGAGATAAGCCATCATCAGGGGCGTTTTCAACGACAAATCCTTCCTCTTCGTCAGAAAAGGGACATGATTGCCCATGCGGCCTCGCTAAGAATCGGCACTTTTGGGCACCAACGGACTGCACGGCTCTCCATGTTGCCGTCAATGGGATCGCCAATTCGACCCGCCCGGTTCGAGAAGACCGCATGAAGAAGGCCAAAGCCGCGATGACAGCGTCGAAGTGGAAGACTCTTATCGAGGCGGTAAAGGCAGCGAAGCCAGCCTCAGGGGGTGCAGACTCGTCGTGGCCTCCACCAATGGCCCAAATGGTCATTGATCAGTCAACCCCTGAAGGGCGGCAGCAGCTGGCCTTTTCGACTATGCCTCAAGTCCACCCACTCCGCGATTCGACGCTTCTCGATAATTGCGCCAGCACGCACGTTGTCAACAACAGGGATCTTCTCGTGGATGTCCACCCGGCCAGCGCCTCTGATGTCGTTTTAGTCGGTGATACGGCTCTCCAAGTCGTGTGCCGAGGAAAGCGCATCATGAGGAATGCCTTTAACGGCCCGGGCGGACGAAACACACGAGATTTGGTCCTCAATAACGTCGCCTTCGTGCCGGGATTCCATACTAACCTGATCAGCGGCAACGAGCTTCGGGCCCTTGGCTATTGGTCGTGCACCCTCGACGACACGCTGCGCTTTGGGACGATGGCCAGCAACAAGATCATGATGAATATGTCCAGCAAGTACGGTCTTACCGTAGCTGAATACAAGCCTCTTTCATCTTGCTTCTCTCTCCCAAGTGCTCCAGCGTGTGTGTTTTCATCAATTCGAGACGTTAACGCCGACCAGCCAAGGCGCCGGCCCTCAAGGGATCCACAACAACCAAGGCTTGCAACGGCAGCCTTGTGGCATCTCAGGGCCGGGCATGCAAGCCCGAAGGTCCTTGATCAGATGGTTCCACAAGTCAACGGAGTCCGAATCCAAGGTCCAACAACGGTTCAGTGCATTGGGTGCGCAACGGGTAAAGCGCACACAGTGATCTCCCGCAGAGAGTCGCCCAACCGGTCAAAACAGCCCTTCCACCGGGTGTTTTTAGACGTGTTCACCTTCTCTGCGGCTTACAATGGTCATCGCTATGTTCTCCTTGTCACGGATGAATATAGCGGAATGATGTTCTCATGGACGATGGCGTCAAAAACCGAGTGCTTCCACATCATTCGGAACTTCGAGTCATCAATCAAGCGTCACTGTGGAGTTGTGATCTGCAAAATCAGGATGGATAACGAGAGGGCGCTGGTTAACTTACCGGAACAGTGCGACTCGGAATTCCAGTCCTGGGCAAAGGAAGAAGGTATCGAGATCGAGCTGCCGCCCTCCCACACAAAGGAGCCCACAGGGGGAGCAGAGAGACCAGGCGGCATAAACCAACAACGCCTGAGATCAATGCTTGGCGAGCTTCCTCGTGACCTTTGGCCTGAAGCCTATCAGACCGCAGTCAAACTTCACAACATCCTTCCAAGCCGCAGAAATCAGTGGAAAACCCCTCAGGAATCATGTGATCAATGGTTCAACAGGCATCTCCGCTGGTTTGGCAAGGTAGGGACAGATATTAACTATGAGAAAGATTTACGACCAGAGTGGAGAGGCAAGTACGCTTTCGGATGTCGAGCGTATCCTCTGATCAACGACTACAAGGCAGGCATTTCCAAAAACGCCTTCAAAGTCAACCCCAGAGCACATGTAGGATATTTGGTTGGCTATCACAGCAGCAATATCTACCGCATCTGGGTTCCCAAGCTTCGGCGGGTAATTCTGTCAAGAGATGTTACGTTCAATGAACATCAATTCTTCGACCCTGCAACAGAGGACCAGCAAATCGCGATACCGGAGTTCAAGCCGACCATTGAGGCTATTGAACTGCCTATCCAACGAGACTGGAACGCGATATTGGACGATTTCCTGCAGGAATTCGATGAACAAATCCTTGAAGTTAACCCCGTCGGTTCGATCTCGGGGGTGGAGGGCCAGAGCACCGCATATCCCACGAGATTAGCTATCTCGATGGACGATCAGATGCTTCGTGCAGAGCCAGAACCTGCCCCAAGAAGAGATCTCACGCCGGAGGGACTAGACACGTCGACTACCGCAGAACCTCTGAGAGTTGCAAACTCGGGGGCAGATAGCGGCTCGCGTGGTCCCCCTCCATTTTTCGCAGACGAGGGACTAGATGTGCCGACTACCGCAGAACCTGAGGACGCTGCACAACCTCAGGCAGATAGCGGCTCGACCAATCCTCCTTTCCCTATTCCAGAGGGACTTTCCGCCGAGGACTAGACACACGGACTACCACAGAACCTTTGGACGCTGCACAACCAAAGGAAGATAGTGGCTCGCGTGGTCCCCTCCATTCACGCCCGAAGCAACACCTAGGCGACCTGGACGAGATTTATCGATGTCGCAGGGGTTAGGCTTCGAGGCACCATCTAACGAGGGTTCAGACGGTGTAGGATCATCTGATCACATGTCTGACAGTCCTGTTAGAACGCCTTCTTCGCTTCCAACTTCTTCGCCACACGTGGAGCTTGGCACACCCGACCTGTCAGATGAGGCCACATCTGAAGGGAGTACAGGGGCGGCCCAACTGCCAGCAACGGCAAGACAGGAAGGAATAGCAACCCAAGGGGATGGCTCAGTCGACAGTGCCGACGCGGTCGACGCGAGCACGAGGACAAGGCGACCTCGCAGGACCCGAAGGGAGCTATACGGCAAAGAGCCCACCCGACGGAGCTCACGCCACCCGACAACGAAGCAACAGGATGCATTTGCTGCATTGCTTCCGGAAAAATTGTGGTGCGCGCCTACTCTTCCAAATGGGGTTTAAGTCTCCGTGCATGTTTCGAAATCGTCCGTGCATGTTTCGTTACTCCTCACCCGAGCCCTCGCAACCCCTCACATTGTCTCACTTCTCCGCACTTCCTACAGGCGATGGAACGACCTCACCACCGCACAACACAACAGCAAAGGAATCAATCGACCCTTCTTTGCCTAGAACCATTTGATCATCCATAACACTCACGATGTCTGATGCTTTCGAAGCTCTTGGAACAAAGGTGACGTTGGCGAAGTCTACAGACTGGTATCCTTGGGAAGACCTCTTCCTTCGTCATGCCAAGTCGCTCCTGGTGTACAAATACATCGACAAGGCTACAACCCTCTCGCCAGTTGAGCCAACTAAGCTGAAGCTCACAGAACAACTAGCAAAGCTTAAAGAGTCCAAAGGAGATGAGACGATTACCCTTGAGGACCTTACTTGGCTCAAATTCGAGGTTGAACAGTCAGACAAGGAGTATCGGGCTTGGTGGCAAGAGAGGCAGGCCTATTCCAAGCTAGAACGTTGGGTATTCGAGACTGTTGACCCTGCCTACGTGCGTGTAATCTCTCGCGACGCGACTCTTCGAGAGATCTACGTACAGCTCCAGGAACGATTCGGTATCTCTGACTCCTCTCGCACGGAAGAAGCGCGAGCCGCCTACAAGAAGGCTCTAGTTACTACTAAACGAATCAAGCCCGACGACTGGTTCAACCAGTGGGAACGAGCCTATCTCGAAGGCACAAGAATGAAAATACCTGACCTCGAGGGCACTCTAGCCATTACAGAGTTCCTCGAGGCTGCCGTAACCATTGACGCGGAATGGGCTCGTGCGAAGCTTCGCACCCTTCGTGAGCAACAATACGAGAAGTCGGTCACGATGACCCTCCTGGGCGTTAGTCGCCTTTTCCAACAAGTCTGCCGTGACAACGCCAAGAATAAGACCTTGACCTCGCCCGCGGCCTTCTCGACAGGCACGCCGCAGGACAACAAGGGTCACGAGTGTGCTTGTGGGTTCAACAAGAAGAATCATTCCTGGAAGCCTGTGGACTGTGCCGCTTGGGAGATCGCGGTCAACGGCAAGAGCAGCCGTCACGCGGTTGACAGCCGTGTTGCAAAGTGTCGCGAGGCGATGCCTCTTCCCCGTTGGAAGTCTGTGGTAGAAGCCGTCAGGGCCAAGGCCAAAGACTCGTCTGGCGATGCCTCCAACGAGGCTCCGTGGCCATCAGCACACATGGTCCTTGATCACTCGGCTGAAGACACCCAGGCAGCCTTCAGCACGATGCCGCAGGTTCATCCTCTTCGAGACTCGACCCTCTATGATAACTGCGCTAGCACCCACATCATCAACTCGCGAGAGCTTCTTACTCGAGATGTGGTGCCGGCCGGCACATTGGACGACGTCTTGGTAGGTGACACCGCGATCCAGGTCCAATTCCGTGGCACCCGCGTGATGAAGGGACTTCTCAATGGCCCCGACGGCCCAGGCACTCGCGATCTTGTGCTAAAGAACGTTGCCTTCATCCCGGGCTTCCACACGAATTTGATATCGGGAGACAAGCTTCGGAAGGAGGGTTATTGGCATTGCGGCCTCGATAATACGATACGATTCGGCACAATGGAACGCAACCGTATATTGCTGAAGATGGTATACAAATACGGCCTCACAGTTGCCGAATTGAAGCCTCTTTCGCAGTACTTTTCTATTCCAACAGCTGCGGCGTGCGTGTTTTCTGCAGTCCAAGACGCCCGCCCAAGAAGGCAGCCCACACGAAGGTCGGCGCGACCTGCCCAACCTCGCCTTGACATCGCACAGCTCTGACACCTTCGTTCGGGGCATGCGAGCCCACGGGTGCTCGAGCATCTCTGTGATCAAGTGCTTGGAGTACAAATCAAGGGACCAACTTCAATTGAGTGCGAGGCTTGTGCCCAAGGCAAGGCCCACGAAGTGGTCTCGCGACGCCCCAGTAGACGCGCGGCACACCCATTTTTCAGGATTTTCATCGACATCTTCTCCTTCGAGGAAGGCTACAACGGCCATAACTTTATTCTACTCGCAGCTGACGAATTCAGCGGCATGTTCTTTTGCTGGTCGATGGCTAGGAAGTCCAACGCGTTAGACATCCTCATCGACTTCGAAGCTCGAATTCGCAGGCACTGTGGTGTTTTGATCAACGCCTTTAAGCTCGACAACGAACGCGCTCTCGTCAACCTCGAAGATCAACAGGTCTCGCCGTTCCAGGCGTGGGCCTCCGACGAGGGCATCATGCTCGAGCTGCCGCCTCCCCATACAAAAGAGCCCACCGGAGGGGCGGAAAGGCCAGGTGGCATAATTCAACAACGCGTGCGTACGGTGATGGGCAAGCTCCCGCGCAATCTCTGGCCAGAGGCATATCAAGCCCTCACCTACACACACAACCTCTTGCCCAGCGAGAGGAACGGCTGGCGAGATCCTCGTCAGGTCCTAGACGAGTGGTTCAATAGGCATCTCCGTTGGTACGGCGCGGCAGGAGTCACCGCACATAGGCGTGTAGACCTTCGTCCCTCATGGGAAGGCATCTACGCCTTCGGCTGCCGCGCCTACCCACTTCACAAGGATCACAAGGCTAACCTTCACAAGAAGGCCTTCAAGATTAACCCGCGCGCCCACATCGGCTATTTGGTCGGGTATCATGCCCGTAACATTTACCGTATCTGGGTGCCGCAACTACAACGCGTCATTCTCTCGAGGGACGTCCGCTTCAACGAAGAGCTCTTCTTCGACCCGGCAACTGAGGATCTCACGATCCCAATTCGAGAGTATCTCCCTTTTGCTGAAGCCGTTGAGCTGCCTCTACAGCGCGCCGACGAGAGCGTCTTGGCGGACTTCCTCGAGGAATTTGACAACAACGTGTTAGACGTTGACGGTGACGAGAACTCGGGGGTGGAGGAGGCACAGCCAGCAACAGCATCTCTCCAAGAGCCGCTTGCCCCCCAACCACTTGATCAACCCTCCAAGGACCTCGCAAGTCCTTCGAAGGGGTCACTAAGTCTGCCTCCGACGGGACTTCCCTCACCGTCCCCGGAATCACAGGCACGACTCACGCCTTCACAACCCACTGCCGAACGCAACCGAATTGTAGCTTCGCCACCGCTACAGTTGCGGCAACAGCCTCCGCCCCAGGGATCCGATGACACCTTCAACCCGACATCGCGGGACCCAACTAGTGACCCGTCATCGCGAGACCTAGGCGGCACGGAATCAGGCCCTTTGGGACAAGTAATCGAGGATCAAATGGACCGTGATCTAGACGAACAATCCACAATTGTATGCAATACGGAGGAACCAGGCCGGTCTCGCCGTCGCACACAGGCAGAGCTTTATGGCACCGAGCCAGTCAGACGAAGCTCTCGCCGCCGCAGGCCACCCAACGCTGCCTTCGCAGCATTTCCAAACGATGAGGAATACGGGCATGACGACCTTATCACTTTTCATTCTGTTTTTGCAGCGGCCTGCGAGCAACGCTCGCAGCCGCACCGCGATACCCTCATCCGACTGCCCAAGCGGTATCAGGATCTCGATCATCATCCACACGGCAAAGAGTTCAAGGAGGGCTGCCGCAATGAGCTTAGGGATTTGATCAGACGAGGCACTTGGCGCCTCATCCACCGGATGAAGGCCACCTCGACCCCAATCCCACTCAAATGGGTCTTCGACTACAAGTTCGATTCCAACGGATTCCTTGTTCGCTGCAAAGCTCGCATCTGTGTACGCGGAGACCTTCAAGAAAAGAGCCTTCACGAGCGGACGTACGCAGCTACGCTCGCCGCGAAGACTTTCCGCACCGTTATGGCAGTTGCCGCCAAGCGAGACCTCGACGTGCGGCAATTCGATGTCGCCAACGCCTTCCTCAACACGAAGATCAATAAGGATTTGAGACGGGTCTTTGTGGAGCTTCCAAAAGGCTACGTTGAGCTGGGCTTCCTCAAACCGGGAGAGATCGTGACGATGGTGGCAGAGCTTAACAAAGCTCTCTACGGTCTACGCGAGTCTCCGCTGCTGTGGTATAATGAGATCGCACAGGTCCTCGAGCAACAAGGACTCAAACGCACAGCCGAAGAGCCTTGCGTCTTCACGAACGGCGTAGTGTTGATCCTGGTGTACGTCGATGACATCCTTCTCCTCAGCCCGCGGGGCACCTACACCGAAGACATCGCGACATATCTTCGTAGCCGCTACGAGCTTCGCGAGGAAGCTTTTGGCTGGTATCTCGGCATCAGGGTCATCCGTGATCGCGATCTTCGGAAGATTTGGCTATGTCAAGACGCCTACATCGAGAAGATCGCCCGGAGGTTCAACCTGGCCGACCTCACGAGAACACCAGCTTTTCCGCTTCCCCTCCAGCGGCTCCGCAAGCATGATGGCGAGGCCACCCCTGGGGAGATCAAAAGCTTCCAGGAAAAGGTAGGCTCCATCATGTACACAGCTGTCACAGCGCGCCCCGACGTGGCATTCGCAGCCTCGCAGCTGGCGCGGCACCTCCTCAATCCCTCCCCGCAACATCACGATGCAGCAGACCAATGCATTCAATATCTCTATTCAACACGCTTTCTCGCAATCGAATTCGACGGACTCGCCCCTGCTGAGGCCCTCGTTATCGCCTCAGACGCTTCTTTCGCCGACGACGAAGAAACACGCTGCTCCTCACAAGGCTACGTTATGATGCTTTATGGCGGACCAGTGGTGTGGAAGGCAAGCCTGCAAGATACGGTAACAACGTCAACCACAGAGGCCGAGTTGCTTGGGCTTGAAAAGACAGTCAAGGAAAGCATCGCCTTGGAAAGGCTGCTCCAAAACATCGATCTGGACCTTGGGCCTTTGAAGCTCTATTGCGATAACCTCCAGACGATCCGGCTAGTGGTCGACGAGGGCTTCAGGATCTCAACGAAGCTACGGCATGTCGATATCCAAGGCATGTGGCTCAAGCAGGAATTCCGGCGCGGTCGTTTTCTCGTCGAATATCTCCCGACCGATCTCATGCCGGCCGACGGCTTCACAAAGGCCCTCACACGAGGAAAATTCGAGAAATTCCGTGCGGCGTTGAATATGACGGATATACGAGATAGATTGGGATAGCAGCATGAGGGCAACCTCTAGGGGGTGCAGCCACCTTAGAGACGCCCACCAAGGGCTTCTGGTCTTCAACTTCACGATAACCTCGACCTACCTGTCACAACAGACATTCAAGAAGTCAAGGAACAATTCCGGAAACAAAGGCAAGAGGGCGGGCGCAGTGGAGGCAACGGGATCATGATGTCTTCAAGGCCACGGGCAATAGGATGGGGAGGAAACATAACACCACAAGATATCCTCAATTAGGCTATTTTGCGGGCTCCCGCGAGCTTCAGCGCCGACGACGCCGTCGCCGCTGGGGGGTGTGTCGCGGCGAAACCCAACAAAGCCTAGGGGGGTACTTGAGGGTGGTACTTTGGGGAGTAATCAAACATACACTCCTGATTTTCAAACATACACTCCCGACCTAAGCCCCATTTGGAAGAATACCCCGCCACCAAAATTTGGCGCGCGCTTTCCCAACGCCGCTGCCGCGGCTGCCTGCCTAGATATATTGTCGCATATCACGCCCGTGTCAGTTCCTGAAACCTTATGCTCGATCCAGTGATCGGAATGGTCCGGTATGGTATGGTATGACCTCTATACCATACCATACCACCTGCTGATATCCTTACCGGTATGGCTTACCGGTAATACCAGTAATACCGCCAAGACCGCTCAGAATGAGGCGGGTTGCAAAAATAGGGAAATGTATTGGCTACTAGCTGTCAACTTGATCGCTTATTCGCTTTCATTCTCGCTATCCCCGCTATCTTCGCTATCCTCAGCCCGAGGCTTCCCATACCAGGCACGTAGACACTCACAAGCCTCTATGATATCTGCCTTAAGCCTACCTCGACGATCAACTATACCAAGCTTTGCGCTACTAAACAGCCGTTCGCACTCATCTGACATTGGGGAAACCGCAAATAGATCCAGAGCGAAGCGGGCGAGGTCTCTTGCGAGTCATAACGGGATAGCCAATAGGCGATGGCCTCATCGCAACCTGCCTCCTCGTCATGCAGCCGGTCGGTCGAAATATACTGCTCATACAGATCGGTGGCAGCAGCCGGGCCGTCTATGCGAATGCGCTTATGTTCCCTCTGCCGATCGAATGCTGGGTCTGGATCCTTGTCCTTCCTGACTGGAGGTGGTAGCGCCTCAACAGGGTACTTTCCTTATACTCTGTCTCCCAGAGCTGCTTCACCGCCAGCTGTGCGCTTTCATACCACTTCTGTCTTCCTTCGTCGCCCTGAAGAACCCATTCTTGCCTGAACCATGCCCACTTTCGATACGGATTGAGTACTTGAGCTGCGTAATACGCTGGCGGAAGATCAGTATCTTCAGGAAATCGATGTTGCCAATTCCGTTGTCGGTTGCTGTAATCCTCGCACTTTGACCACGCAGCATCTGCACAACCTTGGAGATACCTCCACGTGAAGTTGTCGTCGTCGTCTTCCTCGTGAATGTCATGGTAGTGATCCTTCGTCTCGTTGATCTCGCGGAGAAGACAGTCCAAAGTCGAAAACCAGTCAGCGAGGGATGTCTTGTTTCCTTCAGCAAGCATAGTTGCCGCGAAGAAGTCTTTTAGTGCGAGCTCGATCTTTTCAAGCTCGAACCAGTGCTGTCCATCTAGTTTGAAGTTCGAAATCCCTTGAGACCCTCTCCTGGTACATGACGAGCTGAGAAGATTTCCAAACGTTCTCGAACATTTAACGCTCGTGTGATCGAATGAAACCACGAATTCCAGCGTGTGGAGTTGTTCTGGATAAGCTCGAGCCCATCGAATTCGGAGAGATGGCCGCCGATAATAATTGCTGCAAACTCCTCCCGCCTTTGAGGAGTAAGCCGGATGTACCGCACAAGGTTATGGAGCCGGCCTAAACATCCAAACTTCTTCCACAGCTCCTCTACCTTCACGTAATCTCCGCGCTGGTGGTGCTTTTCAAGCTTCGCCAAATGCTTCTCACAATTTCGACCCATGAGAAACGCCTGGCAGCAGAGGTTGACAATGTGACCCAAGCAGCGCAGTCGGCGATGGCGACGCTGTTGCGGCTTCATCCATGGGCAGAGCTCCTTGAGTATAAACTCAACAGCGGTATCATTGGATGAAGCATTGTCCAGCATGAAGTATCCAATCTGATCTCCGCCAATGTCATATTCCGTCAATAATTCGAGAACGGTCGACCCAAGATTCTCGCCACTGTGCTCGCCATGAACGCGTCGCATGCCCAGGACGGTACTTCGTCGCTTGCCGGTGGCGTCAATCCACATGGCGACGACACCCAGGATTGCGTACGGGTTTGGCGAGGTCCAGAGGTCGAAGGAGATGGAGATTCTACTCCGCGACCGCTGGAGGTCCTCTTTCAGCTGTTGCTTCTTCGACAGGAACGCATCCATAACCCAACCTCGAATTGTTTTCGCAGCCTTTGGGAGGTGATTAAGTAGAGCAGGGTTCAGAAAGAAGAGTAGCTCTCGGAAGTACTGGTTCTCCAACTGGAAGAAAGCAATATGGCAGTACACAACCCAACGAATCAAAAGCTCTTTGAACCTCTCAACGGTATCTTTCCAGAAAAATTGCTACTAGCAGCTGCGCTTTCTGTTGCTCCAATACAGACGCCCGTGTCGCACCGCGTTTCCTCACGCCGCTTTGTGGATCAATCTGGTGCCTCTGTTCGAGATGATTTCTCCTCCCGACGTGCCATTGATCACAAATAACTCTTGCTTATACTTTCCGATCGCACATTCGTGACAGTAGTATACCTCTTTCTTGTCACTGTCTCGGATGTAATGAAGACCGTACTTCCACACATGCGACGAGCCGAGACGAGCTGCCTTCTTCGTCGTCTTCGCGCGACGCAGGTACGTGACATGGTCTTGTACGAATTCGTCCGGAGGCTCAGGATAACGGACAGAATTAGACGATGGCGTCGTAGCGGAAAAGTGTGGCGCGGGACACGATGCAGGAGATCTGGAGCGGATTGATGCTGAAATTGTCGTAAACGAAGATGGCGAGGTTGGCGCTGGAGATTCCATGATCATGACATACACCAATTAAGGTATGGTGGCTTTCGATCATTCGATCTTGGTCCATCGTCCAACTAGCCTAACGTAAAAATTTTCGGGCTCCAACATCACGGAAGTAATTCGATTGAAAGGATCATTTAAGCTTTCCTGTCCCTGAAAGGATCATTTAAGCTTTTCCTGTCCCTCCGACGACGCGATTGACAAGTCTGGCCAGTGATACGTTAGGTCATGCTCCGTCCTACATGGAAGAACTCATAAAACTGGGTGCAATGAGAAGTACTTTCTAATACGCACTAACACTAGCCTTACCTTCGGGCCTTCCTGGGATAGCTACCCGGCAGCAAAGACGAAAAGCATCCGTTCGGTGCCGGATCGACCTGACCAAGGTAGCCAGGTCGATATTGTGAGGATGATGGTATTCATGATGGAATGGAGTAGATAAACTGGCAGAAAACTGGTCAATAAGCCCTACAGATGACACTGGAATCATCGCCGCTCGGATTCTGCCTGGTCATTCTCCGCAGTGAGCCTCTTACCTGAGCTTATTTTTAGCGTTACTGGTATGATTCGGTATACCGGTAATACCATGGTATCAAGTTTTTGTCAAACCATACCAGGTCTTGGCGGTATTTACCATACCAATACCAACTCATACCGGACCATTCCGATCACTGGATGTGCCTGTGACGAGGGAGGCGGTTCTTGCCACTGTGACGGCGCCGGCGCCTGTACGTATACAGGCACAATTGGTGTAGGCGGTGGCATCACATAGTATCCCTGTGACGGCGGCGCCGGCTGTGGAAGTGAGGGCATCGTCGTTTGGTATCCCTGTGACACCAGCGGCACCTGTGGAAGTGAGGGCACCTGTGATAACAGCACCGGCGTTGCTGCTGCTTGTGACTTGATGAAATCACCGATCTGCTGGGCAAGATCGTCAACCCGGCTGCTCACGGAAGCAAGTGTATTCGACCTCTTGTTCATGATAGTGGTGCCTGTGCCCTTCCTCTTCTTCTTTTGCGTCTCTGGTGGCCGTGATACGAGCTCTGGGTTGGCTCTATGCTCCTCTTGCTCCCAAGCACTAAGGATCCGGCCCGTAGATGCCTCTAGTGGAGGGGATACCTCGCGTCTACTGTTTCCACGCCGGCGAGGCTGGACAACGTCAGGATCGGCTTCGTGGTCTGCATCGATATATTGCTGTTGTTCAGGCTGCTAGTAAATTAGTATAGTACTTATGGCTGGAGCAAGATACTTACAGTCACGCCGTAAACCCGCCAGTGGTTATCAATAAGATGCAATGGTATAAGGGCGGCCGCGTCAGCCTGGATCAAATCGCGGATTGTATGCCGGCAGGGCAGCCCCCATTGCATCGTGAAAGCACCCGTACAAATCGTAGGCATGCCTCGATTATCGGCAAGCTCAGCCCGGCCTAGCCTAACTTGCCTGAAGATCTGTTTCATCGGCTGCCAGCCAATTTTTCGGTGCAGTGACTTCATAATCGTCTGCTTGGCCCATTCAACTCTAGCTCTTGCAAACTCGGATTGAAGCTTCTCGCGATGCTTCTTTTGCCGATGGGTAACGAGCCCTCTGATGTGCTCTTGTAGCTGATGGAGGTCAATGAAGCGGTTGCGTAATCGTGACTTCAACTCGTGATGTGTGCTCTCCACACGGAAGTTACCGTAATGTTATAATTTCGGTACTGTTGGATAGCGTAGGTGGAAAACTGGGCACGCCATGGCCAGTAGGTTGTACGGAGGTAATTAACGAGAGCTATAAGAGGAGCTATTTAGTAAAAGGTTAGAGTAGGAGGGTAGTTAGGCTAGGGTTACCTGGCTGATCCGAAAACTCTATACAGAGTAGATCCCACTGATCTCTGCACTCCCCAGCCGTGCGAGCCCTAAAGACTGAAACCCAGGCATCACGGATACCGTCAGCTGTGTGCTCAAAAGTCCGCCTTGGAGCCGGGTAGTATTGGGTTTCCATCGTCATCTTCACGATCATCTTGTTGCTCAACGCACTGATCTGCCAGTTGTGAGGCATGTTGAATCTGGTAATCAGTGGCACGGTCGATAGGTCGGTCCTCGTCAATGGCATTATCTGCCTGTATAGGGTCGTCGAGAGCGGCTGCTGCAGCGAAGCGAGTCTCTTGTTCTGGCCTATCTCCGCCAATCTCGGTGCCATCGAGGGATCCTTCCCACTTCTTCTTGATGTGAAGGATCACGTTCTTCATCATATGCCAAACGCACACTTGTTGTTGCGTTGATGGGAAGATAGAGTCAAGGGCGTTCTTCAGGGCGGTATCAAAGTCGGTAATCACAACGCCCGGGTCCGGAATATCAGCCTGCCGACCAGCCTCACGCAACTGTGAGAGGATCCATTGGAACGCGCCTTCGTCTTCCTTGGCAGTGAGGCCAAAGCCTACACTGAAGCTCTTGTGTAGCCCTGTTGTGCCAATGATCTGTAGAAGCGGCATGTTAAAGCGGTTGACCTTATACGTATTATCCATGATAAGGAGCTCGGGGTTACGCTTCCAGTCAGCAATACAGTCATCGTATGTCCAGAAAACCTCCAAACCTTCCCATTAGGGCCACGGTCAACTGCATAGTAGCTGATTTCCCCTTTGCTTTAGCATCTTTGAGTACATTGAGGAAGGCTTGTGTAGATGTAGAGGCGCCGTAACGGAAGGCACGAAGTTGCAGCTGGATGAAGTGTATATCAGAATCGGTAATAAGGAGCTCAGGATATTCCTGTCGGATAGCATCCACGATATCCCTGCTCTTGTTATTGACGTTCTTGCTAAGCCCCTCGACGAGGCTATGAAGACGCTCGATGCCGAATTTGCGTTGGCTTCGTTGACGGACGATGGGGTTAGCAATTGGCTCAAATAGAGGTTCGTGGTTATGAGAGCCGTGCTTGATGGTGACTTTGAATGCATTGCAACGTCGGTAGAAGCGGATGTAACAGCGAAAGTCACATCCCGACTTCTTGGATGACGTCTTGTATATACCCTCTGCCTCGTCCCAGGGCCTATACTGACCACTGTATTCACAGCGGATATTGGCTTCCTTGCGCCTAGGCTTGCCGGTATTCTTGCTATTTGCAACGACTACGACGTAGCCAAGGAGCTCTTGCGTAGCTTTGAGTGTTTCAAGCGCCTCATCATACGTATCGAAAGACATCTCCGTGATAGCCTCGATGCTACTGTTGGTATTGCTTTCGGTCGAATTCATCGGGACGATTGACTAGACGTGACTATTGCGGTAGGCGGCGGCGGCGTTGCTGTTGTGTTGAGTCAAGTGGTGATAGCTTCAATTGTTGATGATTGCGAAAATGCAGATGGCGGCCAAAAAAGGCAGGTGGCTGGGCGGGTGGGCGGCGGCGATGGTCACGGCAAGCCAGGGCGTTGGGAAAGCGCGCGCCAAATTTTGGTGGCGGGGTATTCTTCCAAATGGGGCTTAGGTCGGGAGTGTATGTTTGAAAATCAGGAGTGTATGTTTGATTACTCTACTTTGGGAGACCGTGTCCACACGGTCACCTATTTCAGCGGGCACAGTGGACGCAAGTCCCCTCGCCCCTTACACAACTGTACCTACACAGATTTCTCCTTTGTAACCTAAGAACACGTCTTTTGCCGGCACCCACTTTGTGACGCAACAGTTAGCGTCCTTTGGCGCGTCCACTTCCTCGATGTACCCAGGAAGCTCGGATTGATCCACTTCGTGTCCTATAGACGAGAGCGCATCCTTCAAGCGATCGAGAACAACACGCGGATTGTATGGGAATAGTCCGCATTTTTCCCATGCAGAGAGGATCGTTCTTTTCTTGAATGTACGATCGCGGACTTCTTGGAGGTGGAATAGGAAGTCGGTCTTCCCAAAGTCCGCAGCACCGTCAGCAACTTCGCGATATAGCACATGCTGGTGCCAATGCTTATACGATCGGAATACACCAACGTCCAGCGGCTGAAGATAATGCGTGAGATGCGGAGGCATTGGGAAGAGCTGGATGCCGTGATCGATACAGAAGTGGACTACCTCTTCTGTAAAGTGACTATCGCATCCATCCATCAACAGAGCTCTCTTTTCCGACGGGTTGGCGGGCCGTGAGTGCCTCTCAAAGTGTTGAGCCCATTCTAATGCGATGATATCGTTAATGTAACCTTTTGGGCTCGTAGTGATAATAGTATCACCGTCCAGATTGTTATGAACCCAACGGACCTTAATCTGGACACCGGGGAGGATTAAAAACGACGGAATCGTCTTCCCAGAAGCCGATACAGCCTCAACAGCCGTCACAGATATAGTATCATGCGCATCGGTAAGGACAGGGGCTTCAATTTCGTTGAAGGTCCATAGGAACGTCCCCTTCTGAAGGTATCCGACCATAAAGGCTGTCTCGTCAAAATTCCATATATTCTCACGGGTGATACCTTCATCCTTAAGGAATTCTGCCCAGCCCTTATAGAAGGCCTCGATTCGGGCCCGGTCTTCTACAGCCTTGCGCTTAGCGTCTCGTGAAGTGGCCTTTCGGCGATGGAATAAATGGTTATTCCGCTTAATAAAGCGTTGAGCCCAGGCTCGCGAGACCGTCTGAGCGATGCCTTTAGCCTTAAGAAAGGCGTTGGCATGCTGCTGTAAGGAGTGACGCTGTATGTGATGCCCTTGAGTGATCCGGCGATTCGCCCAGCATAAGATCTCTTCTTCTTCTTCCGGCTGTAGCAGCGTGCGATTGCCGCCATTATCACCTTTCGGATGATTGCCGAGGTATCGCGATCTTACCCGGTAATACGGGACGCCCAGGGCAGCTGCAGCGGCCGAGAGAGTCGGATAGAAGTTATCGCGAAAGAGCTCGGCGGCGGCGACGGTCCGAAACTCGAGGTTATCGGAGGTATAACGAGGAAACTTTGGCTTCCCGGTCTCTAAATCAATCCATCTTTTCATAGCAGACTCTTCGGGCATTAGGGATGACATCTTGAAAGAATTAGAGCAATTGATACAATAGAGCGCGAGAAATAAATTTATTGATATTGGCGTTGACCTGACTGCGCGTCGCGATTTGAAGCTATCTTGAGCCCTTTTCCCTTTTTGTCACGTAGGACTTAATCGCAGTATCGAGGTTATGCTGTAAAGATGGGCTACTTTGGTTTACGTGGGCTCTATATACTAATCTAGGTACTAATTTTTTTTGGCGAATCAACGACACTTTTGCTAATCAGCAGCCCCCCCGTGCTTGAGAAACAAGCGCGGGGGGTTCGTCGTTTAGACCCCCCTAGTACTGTGTTGACCGATCAGGAACCCTGGAGGGTGAGACCATGGCGTTGTCCAGCAACCAAGGTGGCCGAGGGTGGCTTCAGCTCGACGTATAAAGACGGCCGTGTAGCTCCAATATGCGCTGATGGCTGAAGGGACTGAGTTTAAATCAGACCTTAATTGCATCAACTTTCCAACTTCTTCCGCTTAGACGCTCCAGTTCGACTTCGAGAAAATGCTCAGCAGCAACGTCCTCGCCATCGCGGCCGTCGGCCTCGCCAGCTTCGTCGCCGCCGGGCCTGCCGCTCGCCCTTGCGGCTTGAAGATCGCTCCATGCCCCCACAAGACGACCTGTGTTCCCCTCTACCCCGGCTGCACCAACCTCGACAGGTGCAGGGGAACCTGTGTTGCCAAGAAGGATTATTACCGTTCGGCCAAGAAGGATTACCCTTCGTGTGGAGGGCACCGCGCGAATCCGCCAAAGTGCCCTGCGCACTCGACATGCAAAGACGACCCTCGCATTCCAAACAACTGCGGCATGGCTTGCGACCGACCCGGAATCTGCATTCCCAAAAATGCCCCGTCTTGCGGTGGTTTCGCCGGCAGACCGTGCCCCAAGGGACTTCGCTGCTACGACGCGCCCAACGACGGATGTGATCCGAACAAGGGCGGCGCTGACTGTATCGGCGTCTGTCTGTGAGGATTGCAAGACACACTCCGCGGCAACGTATTCATCGACCCTGCGCTGGCGGCTGGAACAGGGACATAATGAAGCTCAACAGGGGGGGGGGGGGCCAATTTGTGGCGACACGTTGTTGAATAACGTTGCCATGTCTCTGATTGTTCAAGTTCTATGTCTGACGGCTGAAAATGGGGAGAAAAATCAGGGACAAAAGCTGTATACTTAATGGATTCCCGCCATGCTTCCATGTACTTGGGGGGACTAAAATCCGTCCCGATTCCCGCGCATGTCAAGTCATGCACGGGGGGTGCATTGAGTAGCAAAAAGTCCGTTGATTCGCAAAAAAAAATAGTGACTTATAGTTTAGTGAGCGGTCCACACAAATTAAGGTACCCCCCTTTTCCTACATATCCGCGTTACAAGAAAAATAACCCCGCATTTAACGCTAGATGACGCGCGATGCGCGTTAGACATCATGGTCTTTACTAGTACATCACAAGACTAGTTAATTAACGATAACAATTACTACGATTTTACTATCTATCCCTTGCAGTATGGCCTCTCTAGAAGGTAACTCATCTATTATCAATACGTGGATCGATTCAGAGACCGGCTTGCCTCATTTCTCGCGCTTTACACCCGATAACCTCGAGACGCGAACCGTCGCAGCAACCCAGCTCTATCACGATGGGTTTTACCGTACAATCAATCATGGCAGCTTCTGCTGCATTACGCGTACCCTACTATCGGTTACGGTCTCGTATTCAAGGCAATCATCCAAAGGCTACCAATGGAGGCAACCGTACACTTCTTTCACCGGAAGAAGAGAAGGAGGTACTATGCTGGGCGCATCGCCGCATCACACAAGGCCACCACATCCAGCAACGCTCCTTACAACAACATGCCAACGCGATACTCAAAGCTACGGGCCGAGGTAATACTACAGCTAGTGGGTCATGGGCTCGACGATTTATAAAACGCTACAAACAATATTTCCATCGTCGAAAGGCAGTTGCCCGAGACGCAAAGCGTAAAGTCATGCAAGACCGTGAAGTCCTCTCTCGATTCTACCAAGACTGGAATAGGTACATCGATAGAAATAGCATCAGACGCGAGAATATCTGGAACTTCGATGAAACAGGCTTTATGGTGGGGTATTTACATACCGGGACGTATATTTGGACCTTTAACGAAGTCAATAACCCCGTCTTAACAGACTCTCGGGATACGGTCTCGATTACTGCTATAGAGTCAATCTCCGCGACCGGCAGCAGTATCCCTCCTTTCCTCATCCTTCCAGGGGCACAGATCCCGGTCCGTTGGGTTAACGATAACCTCGATAAAGGCATACCATGCCCCACCCCCCTTTCGGTAACACCCACCTTTCGGTAGCGCAATTGAAAAATTCTCCACCAAAAGTCTACCATTTGAACTACATGAAATATGATCAGAACTTAACATTATAAACACCAAAAATATATCATTCTGTAGAGAAATGGACGCTCCTATATGTACCGGCGCTTTTTTACCATTCGCCCGGATCTGGTGGTGACTGGAAGGGCTTCGGTACCGCCTTGACTTCGATCACTGAAGCTGTCTCCACCTCCGAGACCTCCTCCTCCTCTGTATCAGAATTCAGCACAACGGGTATTTCTTGGCTTCTAATTTGGGGAATGGCGTCCTCGGCCACCAAAGCTTCACTGAGAGTCATGAACCGTCTGTTCGGGTTCGGAATTGCTCTCCTCTTCTTGCCTCTCTGCAGCCGGGCCACTTCTTCCTCTAGCTTCGCGATTCTGTTGCTGTGCTCAGCAAGCGTCTGTTCTTGGGCTTCAAAGCCTCTAGCTATCACGGCATATCGTCTCCGGGTGCCAGGAGTCTTGTTCTTTCCGAAATCGCGAATCTGGCGGCTGTTTCTTGGTGTATCATCAGAACCCAAAAATGGCGCAGACTTTGGAGACGTCTCTACAATGTCTGCGTGAATTTCTGGATGCCGCAATGCCTTGAATCGTGAGATCGGCCAATTCCCAGTGACCCTCCAGCCGGCCAATATATTCTTTGCGGTCATTGCAACCTCGCGCGCTTTAGCATATGCCCGTATAAAATTGACCTTATCAACAGGCGCAGAATCGGTCAAACAGGTTAATTTCTGAAGTTCTTTCCGATAAGCTGCCTTGGAGGCATTGAATACACCGTTATCTAACGGCTGGAGGCCATGAGAGCAGTGGGCAGGAAGGTAACAGCAATAAACGTTGTTCAAAAAGCATGTGGCCATCCATGCATCCTGGTCCCGGTTAACAGTCATTCCTACCGAGGTGGATAAAGGAACGCACCGTTGCATGACTTCCATGTCCATCTAATATAATCAGTCTAGCGTCTGAGGCATCGGCTGGCCGCGTCTGAGGCAAATAGACCCTCTCAAGCCACTCAATAGCAATGTGGTTGTCCGTCCACCCGTTGGGCGCAGGGTGGTTTTCCATACCCAAGTATGGAAATACCCTTTCCATACTATGGCATGGACAGGGTATGGATATGGATCCATAGTATTTCAATGCTCAGTCAATAATTGGCCAAATTGCGCCACTGACCGGGACCCCTACAGCGCCATCGTCCAGGGTCTGAGGGCCTTGAACCCCGCTAATTCCCACACAAACACAAATCGCTTTCCCACCACTTTGCACCAACGCGTCGGACGAATCAGTTGTCGAACTATGGATTCTGCAAGTGTGCTATCCTTCTTCGATGCTGAATCTATTTTGTCGGACTCTACGACATCAAGATCTCGCAATACAAGAGGCAAAGCGGCTATCGCAACGTGGAAGCATGCTCGCGTTGCAGCAGAGGGGGAGGAAGAGTTTAAGGGCCGAAATCGCCTTCTCTATTGCAGCCATTGTCCCCAGACGAACACGTACAGCACTTCAGTTACCACTAACTTTCGAAAACATCTGGAGGGTAAGCACGATATTCGAGTCGTGGAAGATTTGACCCCTCTTCAATCGTCCATCTTTGAGGGGTTTGAGCAACTCTACCAGCAAGCACGGGACTTGGGCCGCACAACGGAGATTGAGTCGGAGGTCTTCAAACGCTACCTGGACCAAGACAAGATAAACAAAGCCTTAGCTTGGCTGATCGTCGCACGAAACCTTCCTTATCGAATTGTCGAATCCGCGAATTTCACCTCTTCATTTCGACCTTGAACCCGGTCGCGAAGGACCATCTCCCTTCCGCCCACTCGACTATTCCACGAATTATCGACAATCATTTCCAGTCGGCCAAGGATATCGTGCGAATGAAGCTCCAGTCAGCAAAATCCAAGGTTCACCTCTCGCTTGACATTTGGACGTCCCCCAATCGGCTCCTTCTTCTCGGAGTTTGCTCCCACTTTGTTGACCACGCACAAGAAGCACGACGGAAAGCTCTCCTTGCACTTCGGCCTGTGGCGAACCATTCCGGGAGGAGCAATTCGTTACACTTCTTCCCATCTTGCGGGACTTTGGTATTCTGCGACGCCTTGGAAGCATCGTTGGGGATAATTCGAGCACGAATGACACCCTCTGCCGGGCAGTGAGCACGTATCTCAAGGAAGAGGGCGTCAAATGGGATCCTGAAGTTCACCGCCTCCGATGCCTAGGCCACGTTATCAACTTGGCAGTTCAAGCTTTCCTGTTCCAGAATTCTATTGACTTGAAAGAGGGCGAAATATGCGAAGACGCAGATGACCTGGCAAAGTTCAAAGGCAGCGCACCGAATTTCGCCGCCTTGGACCACTTGGTAAGCTCCACAACCTGGTTGTCAACATCCGGAGTTCATCAGGACGCAGTGGAGAGTTTATGGAACTCGCTGAAAGGGGCATTTCACTTGACAATCGTACGAGGTGGAATAGCTGGTATCAAATGCTGCATGTTGCCACTCAGCAGGAAACTGCCAGCGCTCTGGACACCTACACCAAGAATCATTTCGAAGATCTTTCTGCGGATTTTCTATTGCCGGAAGATTGGGCCCGGCTCCGAATAATTGAGAAGATCCTTCAACCGTTCGCCCGAGCGACATTAGCAACACAAGGGGATCATGCGACCCTGGACAAAGTGCTCTTCACGATGGACGTCTTGATCCGATGCTTTGATGAAGCCCTGGTACCATGCCTTCCATTCCTCTGATCTCCTTGTGCAAGCGCTGAGATGGTGCAATAGGTCACGTACAAATCAGACACCGAGCTGTCCTTTAGGATCAAACGAGGGGGAAGTCTTTGACAAATATTATAGCAAGACAGAAGCATCGCCCTATTATGCAGCTGCCTTGATCCTTCATCCCAGCTATCGCACAACATACATCCAGGCAAATTGGAAGAAGAAGTGGCAAAACCTGCGTTCAAACAGGTCAAAGACCTTTGGCTCACATACCGAGACACTGTGGATGGCGCCCTCTCGCAACATTTACTAGATGACGATGATGACGAGGACCTTGACGCGTTTGATCGCATTTCAAGGAACCTGCAGAATTGCACTCGACCGTCAAGCCAGGACGAGTACGAAGATTACATTTCATGTGATCCGTACGACATTACGCCGACGACGGCCTTGTCATGGTGGCTTCAAGAGCAACAGAGAAAACGATGGCCCAAGCTATCACAAATGGCCATAGACATCCTATCAATGCCGGCGATGAGTGATGAACCTGAGCGGGTGTTCTCAGGGCGCGTCGCACAATCTCATGGGAAAGAGCCCAATTGGACGCGAAACAAGTCGAAAAGGAGAATGCTTAAAGCATTGGCTCAAGAACGATATCTTGCAAGGGCCGAGGGTGGTGGCGGGTCCCCAGATTTTGGGTAAAATCCTGGCTCAACTTCTACGCCTGTTTCCTGCAAAAGGAGCAAATTTCTGCTTGGCATCCCCTTGACCGGTCGTCTGTCATTACGTTCACGTTAACTGTTCCTTGATTTTTATTTGTTCATGTCGTGTTTGGCACGTTTTGCCGAGACCATATAGGTGAGCTGTTGCGGGATGCGCACGGACCAAGAATGGAAAGGTGTATTGCAATACTTGCAATAAATGTGGGGCGATACTCCAGTATGGATTGCACACCTTTCCATATATGGAAAACCACCCTGGTTGGGCGACGTTATGTAATGCCAGTCGGCTATTTTGCCGAATTCCGTCAAGAACCACTGTTTCTGAAGTTCTTTGCCCTTAAAAATAATGCCAGGGGTAAGAGCACGGCCGTCCGCGGTGATAGCTTCAATAAATGAGGTCCAGTTGCGGGACTGTGGCCCTTTCAGAAGGGCCCAGCGCTCCTAATAGTGTGGACCATTAAGAGGACTATTAGTGCACACTGTGGTTTACACTATTAGTGCCGCACTATTAGTGTAGTGTGCGTTTCTCACACCACACTGGTGGTTCAGTGTAGCTTGCCCAAACTGAACGGGTAGTTCAGTGCAAGGGTCCAGACTAATAGTTGCACTGATGGTAGGCACCTATGTGCCTACAGATACGCATGCGCACAAGCTGTAGGCTGAGTCACAGTCACGACAGGTAGGGTAACCGGTGATGACTTCAATTGTAACTAACTAGGGAAGAGGAAGCTATTCACAAGAAACGGAATGTGCACCTGGTAATGGGGGCATGCAGCCGGGGCTGCGTGCCCTGATCGCGGGGTAGGGTGTCACGTGGGAGTCGTGCATGAACCGTGATGGTATCCCGATTGCACGGGTTACTCAGCAGGTTAGTATTCCAACACAGGCAGTCTTTTCTTTTCGTGATGGAATCCGAAGACTGCCGTGCCTGCCCTTCATTCCGGTCTCAATGAAGGGAGGCTCGTCATCATGGAGTCGTTTGTCGTTAGGTGGTGTCTGCGGTCACGGGTCGTTGTACATATCCTTCCACTCGAATCGTCAGCCTGTTCGTCTCAATCAACCGTTCCAAAGCACGGTTGGGTGCTGCTTGGTCATCGCATCAGCCGGGTTGTCATCCCCATTGATCCAACGGATCTCTGCCATCTCGCGCTGCTCGTAGGACTGCCTTAGCGCCATGATATCAATCATGAGTCGCTTCTCTTTCGTGGTCCCGAGCTTTACGAGGCATTCGTATAGCGAGTATGAGTCGGTGCAGACAATGAGGGGAGTCGGGGGTAGGTCCAGCTGCTTGACAATAGCCTGCAGGGTGGTCGCGATGACAATGGCCATATCGAATCCGTTGACCATGCCGTAGATCTCCGAGGCTAGCACGCTCCGGGTCACTCGCTTGCTCTTCGTAGATGACCAGTGCAGGACATTGCCTCTGATCGTGAAATCAGCAGGGCTCTGTTCCTCGTTGGCGAGCACAATAACAAAGCCCAGTTGTGAGCTTAGGTCTTTGTTGTTCGCGAACGAACCGTCCGTGAATACCATTAGCTTCGCAGTCGAAAAGGCCAAGGGAACATAGCGGAGTCCTCGTTGCAGGTTGTCGGTCTGCCATTGTATCCGCTTGTTCAGGGTCTTGTAGTCCGGGGCTTCCGGCTGCTGCACTTGTGCTGCGACTGAGTAGTCGAACGTGGCCTCGGGCTGGCAGATTGATGCGATATATGCTCCGCGCGCGCGCTGTTGGGCGTATTGCTGCGCGCGATCCGTGGAGGAGAGAAAGATGGTGGCTAACTTCTGGCCTTGGCCCTTCTGCTGGATGATAAGGTCGTCTTTTTCGGCTAGAAGTGTGCAACCATTAAACTCGAGGGGAGTCGCGGCCGATATGGCTCCTTGGTTTCGAGCGGAGCTTAGCCTTCTGGATCTCTCTTTCTTCTGCGGCCGCGAACTCAGGGGAGGCGAGGAGGAGGGTGTCATCCGTCTGCATAGCGACCATGCCGAAGCCGGCGGCTTGATCATTGGAGATCAACAAGCAGGGGTCAAAGGTGGAATGTGTCATACCGAGGCGCTCACGATGATGCCTATAATATGTCACGAACCAATGGAGACCTGACTCTGCTATGCCATACAGGGGAAGGATGACATGGATGATGGTGTCTGGGGGATAGCGGGGCACTAATTCCGCTGGGAGGCGTGCGAGTATCGTACGATTCAGGGGGGTTTTGGACTGAATATATGCTTGTGTGATATCACGCAGGAAGACGGAGGCTTCACCTGCGAGGAGGGGCAATTGAGAGGAGTAGCCGCTGTGCTGCCCGTTGCACGGTCGGCGACTGGGTAAGGATATTCTCTTTATCGCGATCGTTATAGCCTTGAATGACGAGACGGGATTTCTCGTAGGGCCTTGTGGTTGGTCCGAGTCCTTTAACTTCGCGGACCATGCGTGCCTTAAAGAGTCTTTGGCCTTTGTGGGCCACGGGGTCGAAACGAATGAACTCAAACACACCCTGTGCGATTAGGTTGTTAATCTCTTGGGTATCGGACTGTTCAAAGGGGCACCTGGTGTGGTGATGTGGCCTTCGCGGCGCAATTGAACAGCGTGATCATAGTGATTAACTTCCTTCTTTGACAGGTTGGCTACGCCGGTCTTGGGCTTGTTCTTGGAGCCTTTGGGGCGTCCTCGTCGGCGTTGTTCAGGTAGGAGCACAGGGCAGGGCATCATCTTGATCGGGGTTAGGGGTGCATTGGGGTCGACTCGTCGGGGATTTGGCTGCGAGTCGTCGTGGGGTTGTGATGAGGGGCCTGAGGATCACGGTGGTATTTCTTGACCGCTGTGATCCTGAAGTTGCGGGCCATTGACATGATTGATTGTTATTTCGTGGCCGTTATTGCCGATAACGATCCACGGGCCGGTCCAGCCGTCAGCCTCTCTCCACACGAGGACCTCGCTCTGCAGGAAGCTCTGCAGCGCGCTCTACATTTGGTCCATTCCTCGTGTTGAGGGCATCTCTAACCTGACGGGCAGCGGCAGCACGGTGCAGAGCTGCCATGGCTTTCCGAATAGCCTCTGCGCGCTTGATCATAGGGGGAGAGGGCGGTGAATCGTGGTTGATTCGTGGGTATCCGCCGAAGACGAGGAGGGTAGGGACAAGGCCATCCGGGCCGGCTGTGTCATTGACTGCCTTTACAGCCATTTGGAGGAGGGCATCTGGGCTTCGACTCACCCAACTCTGCTTGGAGGATATCGTAGGCGCGGCGGAGGGGCCGTGTGCCTTTCTACCTTTCCAATCGAGTTGTGGGCTTCGATAGGCACCTGCCTGCAAGTGATACCCATCAGCGATGCCTCTTTTTGGAACTCCTCTGCTGCAAAGTTAGTGCCGGCATCGTGGCGCATAAAGTCCGGGGGGCCTTGGTAGGTGTCTATCCACAGCATCCGTAGCGTTTCCCAGGTGTCTCGGGCGGTCATCGAGGGGAGGAACCTGGCGCCTTGGAACGCTGTGGCTTCGTCGATCACGTGTAGCACAGGCTTTCCGCCTATTTGGACTACATCCGCGGTTATTTCGAAATTGAACTCGCGGTCGTCTCTAAGGGTAAACCTGAAGCGTTGGGGGGAGGTGCCGTTGATTTGACAGTGGTGGCACATCCTCGTGATCTCACGGATTGACTGCTCATCAATCTTGTTGACTTGATATGAGACATGGACCAAGACATGTTTAGGCAGCAGTTACAAGTGGTGAGTCACTGGATAGTGGCACGGACGTGCCACTATGTATATATGTATGTTGAGAGCTGTCAGACAGAATTGAATAGAAGTAAGTTCAATCGCAACAGGTTATGCACCCGGTTGCTTTTATTTTGCTTCCACTGCACGATTGAACTCGGCATATGAGAACACTTTTCGTCAAGAATCGACGGTTGACAGCAAAGACCCGGCACTATGGGCAAGAAAGACTACAAAGGAACCATCCTTGATGGAAGAGACTCCTTTGACAGCTGGAAGATGGATCTTGAAGATAACTTGTTGAGTGACGATCTTATGAGCTGCGTCACCGGTAAGGCAACAGCGGAATCGTCAGATTTATCAACGCCAGGAGAGAATGCTGCGGACATTAAAAATGTCTCTCTTGCGAGAATGAAAATACGACAGAGTATTGACCAGATCCACAAGAACTCAGTCAACCATCTCACCGATCCACGAGCAATTTATCAATCCTCGTTAAGCGATATGCGACATCGAACAAAGCGCGCCTTCGACAGCTGATCCGAATGCTATACGACGTTAGTACGCAGACGAATAGAACTGTGCAGGAGAAGGTCGACGACCTAAAGCGACTTCGAGCTCAGATTAATAGCCAAGACAAGGACATTGTTATCCATGAACAGCTATTGATTTGCTTCTTGCAAATGAGCATGGACGACGCTTTTAACACTACGGTCGAGATTTTGAACGCCTCGACAGAGACGTTGACAATGGAAAAGGTGCAGAGCTCTCTGGAAAGCAAAGAGTTGGAGCTCGTCGATACGACAATCAAGGGAGAAACCGCACAATTCGCAGGTCGTGGCCGCAGTGCATGGAACAAAGGGAACAACAGGTCCAAAGCACAGGATGGTGGCGATAATAGCAAGGAGGAGGTGCTGTTTGGCCACAGACATAAAAGGTGTGGCGCTTGAGCCAGACAAGAGGGCACCGAGCCCATACAATCCAAGAAAAGGATGGCGATAACGGGGTAGCGCTGAAGTCAATCCTGAAGATGCCTGAAAGACTACTACATGCTAGGCTGGGACACCCTGGAAAGCATATGGAGGGCAAACTGAACGCCGTAATGGATGATCTCGGAGACAACTCATTCTGCCCGTCATTCTGCTCAAGCTGCACCGAGGCCAAAATGACAAGAAAGGTCTCAAGGAGCCAATGTCTGCGGTGACAGAAAAGCTAGAGAGAGTCCATATAGATCTTTGGGGCCAGTTGAGCTATCACTTCAAGGAATGAAGTACATGCTGACAATCACCGATCAGGCTACCGGGCGAGTTTGGGTTTATTTCTCTAGAGACAAAACGAGAATTACCGACAAGATCAAAGCCTGGGTAGTTGTTGCAGAGGCAGAGTGTCGCGAGTACGGAAAAGGCGAAAAGGTCAAGGCGATGCGCTTTGATCGCGGGAAGGAGTTTCTAAACGAGGCAATGAAGGTATTTTGCACGGGGAGAGCTATTCGGATCGAACCAACAGTGGGCTACCACCCGGAGGGGAATAGTATCTCTGAGAGGAGCATGAGAACCATATCAGAGAGGGGGTCTGCTATGCGCCACGAAATGGACCTCCCGGCAGCATACTGGGAGTTTTCGAACGCAACAGCGGCCTATCTGAGAAATAGGGGAGTTGTCAAGGGAATGGCTAAAAGCCCATGGGAGTTATGGCGTGGAGAGAAGCCAAGATCAGGGCACTTGAGAGTGTTCGGATGTCCTGCCTGGGTATTTATTCCCAAAGAAAAGAGAACAAAGCTTCTGAAAAGAGCATGGCAAGGAGTTTTTGTTGGATACAAAGAGGAGACAGATAAAATCTATCTAGTCTGGAACCCAGCTGATAAGAAGGTCCACGAGGTTCGATTCGTGGAATTCGATGAGAGCAAGTATATGGACAATGAAATCAGCCAAGAATCACAATCGCAGTATGACGATGAGAAGGAAGAGAAAAGGAGCAAGGGAGCTCACTGATGATGACTCTGATGCCGAAGATTCGGTCAGGGATAGGACCATGGACCAGGAAGCTACAGAAGCTGGGGAGGATGCCGGAGAAGCAGCGGATGGGAACCCGACCGACCAAGACACTGCAGATTCGGAGGAAGAGCTCCAAGGAGACACAATCGTTGTCAATACAGGGGAGGCGGATATAACCTCTGCTGAAAGGAGTCTGCCGAAAACAAGATCCCAGATTCGACGAGAGGCCGTGGCACTCAAAAGAGCAGAGAAGCAGCGAGCAGAGCTGGAATGGCGGCAAAGAGAAGAACAGCGCATGGCAGAACGTCTGAAGAAGCGAGGGAGAGTGGCAGGAAGGAAAGAGCCATGGTAGCAAGGACGCTTCTCCAGCCTAATACAGACCTGTACGACTTCGACCCGAAAAAGCTTACCTTCCGACAGGCGATGGAAGGCAGTGAGAAGGATCAATGGGTAGGAGCTATAGATGAGGAAGTTCAGAATCTCGTTCGACGACAGACAATTTGCGAAGGAAATCGTGGCAGAATTTCTCTACGACGACTCAATGAAGCACGCAACCCCCATGGAACCTGGAGCTATACGGAAGCTCGTTGAGGAACCGGGACGGCCTCTGAACCATGACGAATGGTTGAAATACGTGGAATTGCTCGGAAAGCTGATTTGGCTATGCAATACGAGGTTCGACATTATATTCGCAGTTAACAGAATGGCATCTTTCACGGTAGAGGCATGCTGGAACCACTGGAAAGCTTTGCTACGAATATTGGGTTATGTCGGCAGGACTATTCACCACGGTATCACATATGGCGGAAATAATGAGCACGCACAAGGAGTCGAAGGCAGCGATATCGACTATTATTCCATTGACCACAACATCGAAGGGCACGTCGGCTCTGCAGGCCTGCAAGATGGGAAGCGTTCTCTGACACCGACTACGCTACTGATCCAAGGGACCGGAAGAGTATCCTGGGGTTCGTCTTTATGGTCTACGGAGGCGCCGTCATGACGTATAGCAAGAAGATGAAATCAGTGGCAAGATCTACGACAGAAGCAGAGTATGTTGGGATGGGGGAGGCCACAAAAGCTGCCCTCTGGGGACGTCGACTACTTGCAGAACTGGAAGGAAAGGGGGAGCAAACAGTGCCACTACTGCTTGGAGATAATAAGGGAGCTGTACAGCTGACCCGAGGAGTATCGAACACGTCGAAAATCAAGCATGTTGATATAGCATTTCATCACGTCGTTGATGAGGTCAAGGAAGGGAGAATCCAAGTCTACTGGGTTCCAGGGGAGAATATGCTAGCAGATGGGATGACCAAGCCTCTGCCTAGGGATGCTTTCGAGAGGAACAGGAGGAGGATTGGAATTGGACCCATACGCTATGAATAGCGTTGCAGTTGAAGTCTGACAGCTCTAGGAGTGTTGACTTGATATGAGACATGGACCAAGACATGTTTAGGCAGCAGTTACAAGTGGTGAGTCACTGGATAGTGGCACGGACGTGCCACTATGTATATATGTATGTTGAGAGCTGTCAGACAGAATTGAATAGAAGTAAGTTCAATCGCAACAAATCTCATCATGCCCGGCACACCTAAGCAGTCGGTGGAGTCTAGCTGTGGCCGGGTGACCGAATCGTCGGTGAAGTCGTCGCAATTCGCGTTCGGTCAGGAATACTCTCGCAGTCTCTTCTTTACCTAGATGGAACCATGCGTGGCCCCATTTACGTACTGCGGGAACGCGAATGTCATCGCGGACGACTTCGTTGGTCTGATTGTTGAAAACAAGCCTAGCCGGTCCATATCGGCTAGGGAGAGGAGGAACGGGTCTTAGTGGGAAGAACGTGGAAATCAACGGGCCCGAATGCCGTGCGAATCGCGGTCGCACCGACAGACACAATCCGGGGTCCATCTCCAAAGGAGATGCCTGTCTGGCCTGCGCGGGTGGTATCGAGGGTAGCGCAGTGGTCTTCGCGCTGCCAGGCATGGAATTGGTCTAGGCCAGCGGTTGACACGTCGGAAGCACCTGTGTCGAGCATGATGCCCTGATAACGCGTTGTGTAACGGTCATCGACAAGGAATTGTTGTGCCGGGGCCTTTTGAGGAGCGCTATAGGCATCTTCCTTAGTCAGACGGTGTAGAACAGCGTAATCTGCGAGGAATGATTGCGTGAAGAACAGCGAGCCAATCGCTGGGTCTTCATCGTCAATTTCATCGGCAGTATCATAGTCAGGGACAGGGTCTCGTCAAGTTCATGACCTTCGAATTCGGCGAGGAACATGGCGAAGTCCGGGGTCGTGTCGGAGGCATTGTGGGCATTAAGGAAATACATCCGTGATTGTTTCCGTTCTTCTATGGTATGCTTGGTAGAC